CCACTTGGGTTCTCACTTCAACTCGCCTTCAGTGGATTGAATCGTTACACCTGCCTACTGCATAGAAGCAGCTATGTTTATATAAAAATGTTTATTTTAGCCTATGCATGAATCAGTATGCATCAGCATTTTGTCTAATTTATATTGATGACAGCTATTTCATTACCAGTCCAATGTTCTCTTCTAGTTGTAACCAATTTGGTCATACGCATGCTCTAGATCTGCTGGACCAGCTTGGACTAGCTATTGATCATAAATGACCAGCTTGGTCCATCTAGAAAAAGTATTTAACACCATCTGCCATCAGAAGGATAACACATAGGCTGCCATAACTCTAACCTTGTATGGCATGGCTCAGATTAGCCTGTAATAATATAGTAATCAAAGAACAGTCAGAACAGAACAGTTTTAAAAATACCCCACATTACCTCAACGCCACTGTCCCAATTTATCTGACCGGCTTGCTGGTATTCAAACGGCAATAATCATGACAGCTGTTTGCCCCGCTTTACCTGATGTCCCATTTTTTCTGAACTCACTAAATGTAAATCCATGGAAACGCATATACCCAGGGGCAGTGAATACATTTTTATAGCCCTTCGTCGATTATTTGAGATATGTTTCATATGTCAGTTTTAATGATTAGACTTATTAAATTTGACCTAAGAATATTTAATTATTTTAATTAGTTGACCAAAAAAATTCAAATTTCAATGGTTTATTCACAAAGGTTCACAAAGGTTCAATGTGTTTATTTATGCATGCAAACATCTTTAAAAAAAAAAGATTAATTACATTACATAATAGTAGCAGTTTACATGACATTAAAGCATATTTGTACATAAAATACTATATATATTTATTTTATTTATGAATGCGTGTTTCGTCGGTACTACACAGCTGCCTGAATTTGAGAGTAAAAATGTACTTCATATAAACGTTACTTCAACAAATACATAATTTAAGCCTTCAGTGTTGTAAAGTTAAGAAAAGCAGAAAGACACGCACCTTTCCGGCGTCCTCAATGCACGCGCACCGCATCCAGACTTGTTCTTTCAACTTGATTTTAAAACATTCGCGGTAAACAATCACTGTTTGAAAAGCCGTAAGACCGTGCAGCCATAAGAGGTGTCATTCACAGCCATTACAGTGCCTGTGCCTTGACTGAGTTGCTCGGATGAAGGATCTTTGCGGTGAGGACGCACCCAAACATCCAATGAGATGACAGGCTGCCGGGCTTTCATCCTTCTCAGTGTTCGTTTCTCAGGGATTTCATCTGAAAATCAAACAGATTTTGCCTTTGATTGTTTATGCATCACTCGTTTTAAAGTGGATTCAATGGACCGGGATGGAAGGAGGAAATTGATGATGGATAGGCGTGCGCGCGCCCCTGTGCGTCTCCAATCAAGTCAATATTTCAAACGCTGGCTGACTTCAGGAGAGTGTTGTAAACGTCTCTATTGTTTTCTTATGTTATGTTGATATATTCGTATTCTTCAAATTAAAATCGTTCACAAGTTATCTTTCATTAATTAATTAATTAATGTTTTATTTAATTAATGTCAAGTACAAATAATAATGTTATGTAAGTGATAATGTGTTACGATAAAAGCCATATGAATAAATGAGCACCAATAATAATTGATAATAATTCAGCATAACAGCATATTAGAATGATTCCTGAAGACAAATGTGACACTTAAGACTGGAACTTCTGAAAAATCAGCTTTGCCATCACAGGAATAAATTACATTTGAAAATATAGTAATATAGAAAACCATTATTTTAAATTGTAATAATATTTCACAATATTACTGTTTTACTGTATTTTTTATCAACTAAATGCAGCTTTGGTGAGCATAAGAGATTTCTTTCAAAATATTCCATATATATTCCTATATTCCAAATAGACCTGTAGAGTGTGTGTGTGTGTGTGTGTGTGTGTGTGTGTGTACTTGTTTATGCTACATTGTGGGGACCGGCCTGCGGAGCTATCAATATAGGGTCGAGACCCTTTTAGGGTAGGGGCGTGTTTGTTTTGGTGATTTCAAATGTCAACATTGGCTACCAGAAATCGCTTACCCCACCTTTAACAGTTTATAACTTTCCTGAGATAAATGCAATGTTACGTGACGTATTTTTCATAAGCTGTTTCATTTGCCATCTTTCTTTCGTTTTAAATGCTGATTGAGCGATTATATGGACATGATACATTTTCGTAAGTTGTAGCTTACTGTATCTTTCAACATTCCTTCTGATGTTTATTCATGAGAGTGTATCATGAGAAGGTTCCTTTCATGCTATAAGTATGGAATAATTGACCTATCAGTAAGCCCCTCAACTTGAACGCAGATGAACCAATGGCAGTTGAGTATCAGTTGCACGGGGACCGGAACTCGGACATCTTTAGGTTTCAGCGCAACAGAAAATCTTCGGAAGATCCATAGCTTTCATCGGTTTGATGGTGTTTATGCTACTAAAATTGAAAAATTATGTGCCTAGGGGAACTTGTAACACTGATTCCAGGTATCCTTAGAAGATGGGCAATGTAATTTATTTTATTCCATTTGTTCCATTGTCATACACTCATTAAGTTACAATTTTCATCTACTGAAGAAGAACGTTAATGTCATCTTGAGCTTCAAGGTATCTCTGGCTAAAGCTAGCTAACATTAAAGTTAGTGAGTCCATGCTAACGTACAAACCTAAATCGCTCACTTCTCCCGTTTGCATTGTGATCTGTATTTTTACATAACTATTTAAAAAAAAATTATATATCCCTGCATGGCATATTTAAGTCCCACTTGAATGATGGTCCTTCTGTGTCCAAAATTTATCAAACACTTCTTGGGGCAAGGTTTTCACACTGACAGCCATTTCAGTGCCCACTGATACATTTAATAACACTCACTTAAAAGGCATGCAATCTTCTTTGACCAGCATCTTGAAGACAAAGTTATTGTTATTTTTTTATCATATTGTAATGTTTACCATATTTATTTGCTTCTTTTGCTGTTGTAAGCTGTAAGGACCTTTGAAAAAACTGAAATTGTTTAGTGAAGTGATCTAGACATGTAATGCGGTCAAGACCTGCCTGGAACTACTTTGCCGTGCGTTTCCCTAAAAATAATTGCACACCCACCTTAGAACGTTCGTCAGCCAATCAGATTCAAGCATTCAACAGCCCATAGTATAAGTTGTTTATCGTAGTATACTTTTACTAAACTGGAAGAGACTTGCGCTCCACGCTGCCACTTGAACTGAAGCTGCAGCAGTCTGTCATTTAAGAGCGTTAAAATGGCATTTAGTGTTTGAATTTTGTGATAAAATGTATGTGCTCTTTGTGATCATTGGATTGGAGGCGCATTACAAATAATGTTTTGTGAAGGGGAAACCGCTGGCCTGGCAACCCTGGCTTGAACTATGAATGGTTCATAGGGTCAAATAAAACCCCCATTAACGCTTTTTTTTTTTAACTCGCATTATAATGCAACCTAAACCTAAATAACCTTAATTCAATACAAGAGAGACCTTTTTCACACAAGTTGCTGTCTGACAGGCTTTTTATCTGCCTTAATCTGCCCTGATCATCGGCTGTTTTTAAACAATTGGCCAACGGCCGATAGGGGATAATTGCTTTTTTCAGTCGATACCGATTACTGACCGAAATATTGGTGCATTCCTATTCATAAATCTAACAGATATACAAGCCACCCTTTTCTCTTTGATTTGCTTCCAAGCAGGATGGGCTATGCTGTATGTATGCAGTCAACTATACTCACACCTTTGGGTCAAACTAATTCAGAACCTTTGCTTGAATTCACTTCAGCTGCTTTCATGCATGTTCTTTTTGAGTTCTTTAAATTAAAAAAAACATGCAGATTGGATATATTTAAAGAGTGAATGAGTTATTTAGGGTATTAGGAGGTTAGTAGTTCATGCCACTAAAATATTCATGTAACTTTAACAATAATATGCAGCAATAGGACCAACACTAAAAATTCTTGAGGCCTGTCAAATATCATTTAGATACAGTAATTCAAATATCAGTTAAGAGTAGGTATAGAATCTACCAAAAAAGGGCAGAATATATGCCTAAGCAAAGAGTGAAATGCAATGAGTGCTGAGAGGAGATTGTCCATATGCATGTTAATGTGTTTATCAATGCTTTTCTATGCACACAGCATGCATCTGTCAAGTTGAATTTATTTGATAGATTAATTTCTTCACTCAGTGGAGCAATCTGAGTACCAATATTGGATCATCACCACTAAATTCATATTTTATAATGAAAAGTGAATACCATCAGAGTTTTTTTTTCTATTCAAAGCTTCAGAAACATTCAAAAGCTTCAACCCTTACAGAACATAAGGTTACATAAAATAAGATTAGATAAGATAACACTTTATTGATTCAAGTGG